GGGCGGGGTGGAGGGATGGGGGAAAGGTCCCCCACTTTCCTCCTTGCAAGGAACTTTACCGCGGGTGCTGCTGGGGAAGGGAGCAGAGAAGGCTGGGCCCCGGGGCAAGGGGCTGGGTTTGCTGTGGTGACTCACGAGGGACACAGAAATCCAAACCATGTCCAGGACCTAGCAGCCATCATCCGGGTCTCAATTCCCCGGGAGCCTTTGCAGCCCCCGAACTTGTGTGTTGCTGCTGGTAGAGACCTACCCCAGCCATGTCTCCAAAACAAAGCTTGAGCCGTTGGGAAAGTTGGAGGTTGGTGGCAGGGCAAGCAAGGGGTGTGGGGCAAAACAAGGTTTTCATTGCAAGCTCTTCCTCCACGGTCAAAGTAGATGCTTGGAAGACAGGTGGAAGAGATGGAGGTTTTTCTCCCAAGGACGCGTCTACATAGGAAGGTAGAATTGAGGGGACCCAAGAACGCACCCCAGGGTCTTCCCTGGGGTTGTCAGCCTCAGCAGGTGCTGTGCTTCGTTTGATGAGAGAGGTGGTTCTGTAGAAAGTTGAGCCCCTGCCTGTGCCGGGCTGGGGACAAAAGGGAGGTAGTGTGAGTGGAGGAAGGTGAACTTGGAGGGGTGTGGGGAAAGACCTTGTTTACCTTGCCCCTCCCTAAGGGAACCCTATGGCATAGTGGTTAGGAGCCAGGCTGCTCACGCTGAGGCCCGAATTTTGAAACCACCAGCTAGCTACAAGGGAGAAGGATGGGGCTTTCTGCTCCCATAAAGAGTCCCAGTCTCGGGAACTCACAGAGGCAGTTCTGCCCCACCCTGTAGGGCCACTGTGAGTCGGTCTGCACTCTATGGCAGCCTGTTTTTTGACATCACTGCGTCTGGACTCGATGGCAGCCTGTTTTTTTTTTTTGCAGCCTGTTTTTTGACATCACTGTGTCTGCACTCAATGGCAGCCTGTCTTTTGACATCACTGTGTCGTTCCCGAGCATGTGGGGGGCAGAAGGCGACGACGGGGCTATTTTGATGGTCCTGGGCAGGCCCTTTCCCTGGCGTCTCAGGCCGGGACCCTCTGTGCTTTCAGGACACTTTACTTCAGCAGAAGACCTGAACCTGCTGATCGCTAAGAACACCCGCCTTGAGATCTATGTGGTCACCGCCGAGGGGCTGCGGCCCGTCAAGGAGGTGGGCATGTATGGGAAGATTGCCGTCATGGAGCTCTTCCGGCCCAAGGTAAGGGCCAGGGTTGACAGGGTTTGGCGTCCTTGCCTGCCACGGGGGTCCTTTCTGCCACTCTGTGGCAGCACCCAGTTTATAGTTGCCCGGAATAAGCTTCCTAGGAGTAGGCCAGCTGATTTCACTAGGGACAATGCTCTCAGCTGACTTCTTCTGGAAGCCGGGATTAAAGTCATTTGAAATGTTCACTACTAGTTTTAAGATCTCTGGTGGCATGGGGGTTAGGCAGGCGGGGTGGGGGTGCTACGCATTGGGGTGTTAACCACAAGGTCGGCAGTTCAACTCCTTGGGGGCACGATGAGGTTTTTGCCTCCCCTGAAGACTGACAGTCTGGAAAGCCCATGGGCCCAGTTCTCCGTCCCGTAGGGTTACTGTGAGTCCGAGTGGCAGCGAGGGGGCTCAAGGGACAGGAGTGGAGTGAAGCCTAAGGCAGCCCTGCTCTGCTTTTCAGCTCCATGTCTTTCGGTGTCTTCCAAGCCGCACTTGTTCCCTCTGCGAAGCGGGGATCCTCAACCCGAGCCCCTGGGTGGTTGTGAAGGTTGAGTGAAGTGATCCCGGCAGCTTGGGGCGTAGCTGTGTTAGCCGGTGCGTTCGGTGTGATTGTGAGGGACATGTTTTCATCCAAGGCACCTCGGATGCCCTTCCTACCAGCCTCGCCGAACCCAGCAGGAAAGCGGTGGCCTAAGAGCTGGCAGGATAGTCTGAACAAAATCCACTTGTGGGGCCGAGTCAGGGAGGCGGCACAGAGCCGCACTGGCTTCCAGCGTCCTTCCCGCCTATTTCAGACACAGCCCGAGAGAATCAGCAAATCCGGGTCGGCGCTGCGTCCCTGCCTTCATCAGACTTTGACTAGCACGGCGGAGGCCTGCTTGGAGATGGGAACAGGGTAGTGCATGCAAGATGGTGGCCGCTCAGCCATTTTTTGGCCGCACCTTTAGACTGTGCGTGTCCAGCGTGGGCTGCAGGAGCCCTGATGGCGAAGCAGTTGAGCACGCAGCTGCCAGCGGAAGGGTCGCCATTTAGCATCACCTCAGTGGCTGCATGGGGTGCCCATGATGGGCACACCCCACAGGGCAGTTCCACTCTGCCACATGGGGTCGCCAGGAGTCACCCCTAACAGCTGAGCTCCCCGCGGGTGGCAGGATTTCCTCATTGGGACGAGAATAGTTTGTGACAGTTCTAGCGGGTTTAGGAGGGTTCCAGGTTTATCTGGACCCTCCTTGGACGGCATGCGGTTGGGTTCCAGGGGGAGAGCAAGGACCTGCTGTTCATCCTGACCGCCAAATACAACGCCTGCATCCTGGAGTACAAGCAGAGCGGCGAGAGCATTGACATCATCACTCGGGCCCATGGCAACGTCCAGGTGAGGCGGCTGCTTCTGGCCAGTGAGACCTCCCCAGGGCCGGCCCCAATGAGCTGAGGCCAAGGAACAGGGACATAAATAGTAAGTCCTTGAGATGTTGGGTTTTGCCGAAAAGAATGGACGAACAAAGCTACCTGTACACCTTCCAGTCCTCAGTGGCTGCTCCTGGGAGCGGGGGACCTGACGTCCTGTGTTCCCTAAGCCCAGTTTGCCCTCACAGGACCGGATTGGCCGTCCCTCAGAGACAGGCATCATTGGCATCATTGACCCCGAGTGCCGCATGATCGGCCTGCGGCTCTACGATGGCCTGTTCAAGGTCATCCCCCTGGACCGCGACAACAAGGAGCTCAAGGCCTTTAACATCCGCCTGGAGGAGCTGCACGTCATTGACGTCAAGTTCCTCTACGGTTGCCAAGCCCCGACCATCTGCTTCGTCTACCAGGTATCTGGGTGGGAGCCGCGCCGAGTGGCTGTGTGGGGCCTGGCTTTTGCCCAGCTGGGGGGTCTGGATTTGCTGGGAGGGCAGGCAGTTAGCTCTGTCAGCCCCAGACTGTTGGACCCTTTGGGACAAATCCTTGATGGTTTAGGTCTGTTTTTTGGTTGCTTGGTGAGTGCCCTTGAACTTGTTAGGGAGGCAGGAAGCTCCATAGGCCTGGTAGCAGGTTTTAATCCTGAGCTGGCACGCTGGTGGTGGGGCTGACCCCATTTCTACTGTGTCTGAGTTTTCGTGCTGGCTTGTCCAAGGATTATGAAAACTCAGGCGTGGATGGCGTGAACGTGATTCACACCGCTGACTTGCATGCTTTCATGTGGACAGAATGGCAGGTTTTGTGTTTTGTGCATTTTGCCACAGTTAATACCTTCGCTCTGCCAAACCGGCCAAGAGGAAAGGTCCTTGTGATGCTGCCTTTGAGCCTCGCTCAGTTCCCGCCTTTTCGGCCTGGGGTGGGTTTGGCTGGTTGGTTTTTAAGTTTTGACAACGTGCCTTATGATGAAGCATTTGGCGCTTTAGCTTTTGATGTGCTTGATCCGGTGGCATGAATGACCCCTGTTGGGCCACCTGCGTCACCATCCCTTCCTATGGCTTCTCATCTCCATTATGGACACTCTGTACAACGCTGTGCAGTAACTGCTGGCAGCCACTCATAAATCTGGTCTCCCTCCGCTGGCCTAGTCTGGGTGTTTCATCTAAGCAGGGTCCTCCAGGGTCTGTCCTTGTGCTGTTGACTGAGGCCACTCAGCACTGTTTCCAAGGTGCGTCTCAGTGGCAGCATGGGTCAGAGCGTCAGCCCTCTAGGTGGCAGAGGGTAGACTTGCTGGTCCGTGTGGATTATGTTTGTCCACTCGGCTGTTGATGGACTCACGGGTCGCTCCCACCTTTAAGGGTTGTGCATACGCCCCAGTGAACGCTATTGGAGAAGCCTCTGTCTGCACCCCTCTCCCGAATCTGGTGGGTATTTCCCTCAGAGGGGAATTGCTGGGTCAAAGGGCAGCTAGCTCTGTTGACCGAGCCTAGGTCGGAAACTGGCAGAGCTGGGCCTGGGCAGCAGGTCTCGGGCTGGGGGAGTATGGACATCATTCAGACTAGCAGGCCTGTCTCTTGGTCAGATCACTGTTTTAAGCAAGGGCTCGCAGCAGGACTTGTCAGACTTGCGTGTGGTTGAGCAGCTGAATGGAGAACTTCAGAGTTGGTCCTCATGTTGGTCCACACAGACACGTGTGGGTACTTTGGGAGCCAGGCGTGTACAGGAAAAAGTGACGTGTTTCTGGGTATTCTGTAACGTCACCATGAGTGTCCTGGTGCTAAGCTTGATCAGGTTGGAGGCTGGGTTGGGGGATCTTGGATCGGGTCTGCAGTGCATCGTCCATCGGTTGTGGTCAAGACTCTGGGCTTCCCATTCTCTTATCAGTTTGATTCATTTTGTATCCTGAGGCAGGGCTGATGTGGGGTATCCGGGGAGGGCCGTGGTCTTTCTTTCTATCCAGCCCCAGGACTGCCTGTGTGAAAGCCCTTCCCTTCCCTTCCCTATGTGGGTCCCAGAGGCCAGAACCCAAGCTGGATTCTGAACCTGTGAAGCTGAGCCCCCTCAGTTACTGATGGGAATGTCTTTTCATTACTAGCGATGGTGGTTGTCTGTGTGAGGCTCGAAAGGCCAGTTGGCCGACAGGAAGGGTCCTTCGTGCTTTGGGAGGAGCTGTGATGACGAAGTGGGGCTTCTGCCCTGAGACCGGCTGTGGGGGTCCTTCTGCAGACCCACTCATCCAACGAAGGCCGACTCTTCCCTCCTCCCTGCTGCTCTTCAACCTCATGGAGGGTTTTGGCAGCCCCAGGACGGATGGGAGTTTCGTTTCAGGGGTGATGGCGGTCACATTGGAGCTTGGGACTCTCTCTGAAGGAGCCCAGTGCTCGCTCAGAGTCATTGTCAGGTCGCCCTGAGGGAGCCAGAGTTGCTGTGGGCCCGCCTTCTCTCTAGTGCCCATGGAGCTCATGGGAAATGGGATTGCAGTAAGAGTGGCGCTTTCCCACAGACAGACTTTTGAAGCCCCCTTTGCGTATGTGCGCCCTCTCGGATGGTGCTTAATGCAGCGTGGTCAGCTCGTTCCCCTGGCAGGTTGCCTTGTGGGAGATGGACCAGCTCTCCACCTGGAACCTTGTTACCCGGCCAGGGGGCAGTGTCCTGGGGAGGTGGATGTGACTAGCGTGGCTAAGAGAGGGTCACTCATCCTGAGGATTGACCGTTGTTTCTTCCCTGACCCAGGACCCTCAGGGGAGGCATGTGAAAACCTACGAGGTGTCTCTCCGAGAGAAGGAGTTCAACAAGGGGCCCTGGAAGCAGGAGAACGTGGAGGCAGAAGCGTCCATGGTGATCGCAGGTTGGTGGTGGGTGCGATGGCGAGGGTGGGGAGCGTTGCTTTCCCAGCTCTTGGGGCAGTTTGCTCTCCTTACTCCTGGGTTCCAGCCTCAGATCTGACCTGACATCTCCCCAAACGTGCTTGTTTCTTTTTAGCGTTCTCTCTTTCTGTTTCTGGAATGTTCAGTTACTTCATCTCCCCCAAACACAGCTTTTCTGTGTGTGTGAGGGGCTAGGGGGGCGGGAGTTGCCTGTAAAAGTCTTGAGATTAACTGCAGAGTGGAGCATGGGAGCTTGTCTCCTTTCCTTGGTGGGCAGCATG